ATGTGTGTTTGAAGAGCAGACGATTGCATGGCCATGACCCATTGATGCAAGTTCACTTCCTTCATCAGCCCTGCTGAACCCACCTCCTAAGGTGGGGCAACGATACCACGCCTGGGATTTGCACAGACAAGTGGCCGCAAAACATCGTTTGGAAGTATGAGGCACTCGCAGGTAGTTCATAAACGTGAAGGTAGTTGCATGCCAGCCTGCAAATGAATCGCCAGGTGGCAGCAGGCCTGCTCCATCCTAATAAATCCTGGCATTAGAAGTATCCCATTGGTTGGGCAACAGTGTTCTGTCGCCTTGATGTGGCGCAGCGAGGTGGTTTTGATCTGGACACTTCCTCCGTTTTGATGCTTACAGCAAAGGGGTGTGGGGACCTCGCTTATGCATATCCGATGGGTGGAAGGTGCTTGTGAGGTTCATGATGCTTTGTCTTTCCTAGATTGCGGCTCTTGGGAACTCTATACAAGTAAGAAAGTAATTCCTGACCATCGCCCGGCTTATGGATCAGCCATCGTTCGCGTTGACTCAGGGTTTCTCTCAGCGTCGTGTCTGGTGCCGGCAACAACATGCGGAGTAGTTCGCACGCAAGGAATGATCCATCAAAGACTACGACCATGATGTTTCGTGTAAGGCACTGAGAAATTCCGGATACCTGGCAGGCTGCAAGCTGCCACTTTGTACCATTCATCCTGTGAGTAGAATTTGATTTGGAGAAAAACATGGTTTCCAATAGAGAGCAAGACCATCCCTTTGGGTACGTATGGTACTTCATCAAAAAGGAGACTGTAGGTTCAAACACCAGAAGGACCGCCACTCGTGTGTTGGTTCCCGCGATTTTGAGGGCCTGTCTCTGTGAAGCAACTAGCTTCCACTTCAATCCTCCATGCCCTCAGCCGCTGAATTTGGGATCCCTGTCTGCCATGTTGCCGTACGAACAGAACCTGAAGGGGCAGTCAATGCCATTCTTAAGCGGCTGACAGCCTCGAATGGACATGTGGCGGGAAGACTCTTCTGTTCTTCAATTCCCGAACAGAGCAGTATGCCTGCATTGAAGCAGACAAGGTCACGCTTCCAGTGTGTAGTACCCAACGTACAGCCATCAACATTTTGCCAATGCATGTGCCAGGGCAATGTCAGCTCCGCCAATGACACTTGCACTGGCGTCTTTGGAAACACTGCTGGCATGGAGTGCCGTTCTCAGCAGAGTGCTGCGTTCCATGGTGTCAGCAAAAGCAGCATACAGCTAATCAAGACAGATTCTATCTGACAGCATATTGACGGTGGTGTGCAGTTCTACCGTCTGCCTGAGAGTTGGTAAGCCCGGATCCGGAGGCCTAGGTGTTGGAGGTGTTCTCCGCCTCGCTACACATTCAACTACAAGTTTGCGGGAGCAGCTTAACCTGCAGCCATCCACATCTTGCTGGTCTGCCATGCAGGATACTGGTCCAGTGATGTCCGGGCAGAATTGCATGCAAGTGAGAAAGAAGCTGCAGGAATCTCCTAAGATCAGGTCAGCCCACTCCGGCTTCTCATGCTACAATATGCTAGTGACTTCACCGGGCTCTTGTGTAAGGCCTTCTTTTCGTTGCTGTGGAACAATGCCTTCCTGGTGGCTTTGGGACAGTTCCTTTTGCTGCCTTAAGGAGGTTGGTTTGTTCTACCCTCCAAGCGTTCAGCCAGCACTGCTTGCCTCTCCCAGCAACTTAGGTTGATTATTGCCTTTGCATGTTCTCAATGGTTCTTTACCATTGATGAAAGGCGGGGGAAGGACAGGGCGAAGGGCGAAGGGCTTGGTAGCACCTCGAGAGATGAAGCATAAGTATAAGCCAAAGCTTTCGAGGAGCCGGTGATCCGAGGAGCGATTTGGAAGTCCTTCCGCGGCAGCCTCAGAGCTGAGATGCTTTCCGTGCTTTCCGTGCATTCTGTGAGATCAGGCTATCATTTGGGAACCCTGGCCTTTGGTGTGAGCCTTAAAAAGTCCGCACAGCTGCCATGTGTGCATGTTACGTTGTCAAGGAGCCTTCATCCTCGCCCTGGTGCAGTTCATAAGGTGGAAGATGTCAGATAACCAGACTGCAAGTCACTGGCCCGAATGTTCAGGTATCTCTGCAAGTACTTTGAGAAGCAGGTTGGCCTTGGCAGCACTCTTCTTCTAGGCCAGTTGTCCAAAGAAATGCAAAGTTGAACATGACCAGGCGGCAGCGCAAAAGAATCGCGTGATGGTCTCGGCCTGAGGAACTTGGAAGTGCTTCGCGTAAACGCAAGCGCCATGGCCCACCTGGTCTGGCAACCCAACGCCGTCCCGGACCCTTCAGCATTCAAAACGAAGAGCGGGGCGCAGGAAGGGGCAGAGCACGCTTCGCACGGGCCAGTGGAGGTTTGAGAGGCTCCAGGTTCGGAGCTGCGAACGAGCAGCGTTTTACCAACTCAGGTTCTCGTTCTCAAGGTGCTCGGGTGTGTAATCTGGTGCATTGAGATGCTCTCCCGCACTTTTTGGCATCTTCTGACTTGGTGGACCTTGCTGTGATGACGCGAAGCCAAGGAAGTGCATCAAGTTCCTCAACAAAAACGCGTACATCCAGGCAGAGTGGTGTGAGAAGACTGCTCGTGATAATGCCCGAATAACCCCCCACACGTCCTTACCCTCTATCAAAAGTGCTGCCTTTGGCTTCTGAGCCTAGCATTGACGTCGCTTCCTTGGTGGAGGTCGCCCTCATGGGAACCAATTTCTGCACGTCTGCTAAGATTCTTGGGTCAATGGCTCTGTCTTGCTGCCATAGGATGATAAGTGTGGGCTGTCGCCAGAATATCGGGTCAGCATGAAAACTGACATGCTCATCTGTCATAGCTGAGGAACGCTTTCCAACTAATCATTCGGAACATGTTCCGCTTTGGTGTCGTCGTGCCTCGGCATGCATTAGAACAGCTGTTGCGAATGAAGATAATTTCAGGCTCAGCAGAGAGACGTGGCGGTTCGTTTTCAAAACTGAATGCCTATTTGCCGGACAGTTCGGCACACTCATATCTAAATCATAGTCAGGAGGCATGACTGCATAATCAGCAAAAGCACTGCAGTCGAAAGAGAACGAGGCCATTCTTGGCACAGTGATCCACTACATTGGGTGGACAGTCATCTTTGTGGGAACAACCGTCATCGGCTACTTCGTCTTCGATGCCGGGTGTTGTGAAACCGCAAGGATTAATTATCCTAATTGCAAACGGAGGGGCACGGACACTTTGCACAAGGATATTTCTGAGGGTCAGAATGAAAACAGTTGCATGTGCCACTGTAACTTCCGCACGCAGAAGTCGGTAGCCAGCTGTAGGCAGAAATTCGAGCAGAACAAAGGGATACTATGGAATGCTTGAGCCAGGCCTTCCATCCAAGCGAGGATCCGCTGCTGCCTCTCCTGACCTATGCTGCCACCGGCTACATCGTGGACTCTTGGTCTTAATTGCGGCAAGCAAAACCCGGTAGCTGTTCAGCAGCCGCTTGCAGTTGTACTGAGGCGCACTTGTACATGAACGTCTTTGGCCTCGCCGTTGACACCTCGCTTCAGTGCTTCATCGCTGCTGAGGAAATGGGTTGCGCCGAGGAGCCATTCCCATGGTTGTACTGCCTTTCCCCTCATCCTTTGTCAGGTAATTCTGAACGGCATGCTCACTCCCCTGCGTAATGCTCTGCTGTTTGTTTTCATGAAGGAGTACGTGCCCGGACCACTGAAGTCGTTGGTCGATTCGAACCCCGGCAAGAAGAAGTGGAAGCTGTGGGGTTCCAGCAAGGCCTGGTGGGCAATGACATGACACTCCGTTTCGCATGGAAGCAAGCATGAAAGCCGGCAGAACAGGTTGAACCGCAGCCGGTACCTGCCTGATTGGACCTGCGCGTACTGAGCCACCATCATGCAATGCAAGAATTCCACTCATCATTGAAGACATCATACCAATATATACCAAGCCTAGGAGGGGAAAGCAAACGTCCTAGTCCGAGTCCAACTCAAAGTAACAAAGATAGAGAGTCTGCCATCCTGCACGACGATTTCATTCTTGGGTGCGGCTGGAGAGTCCGGGCCGTACAACCCATTTCACCATGTTAGGCTCCTCTGCCACTACGAGGGTAGTTGCCACCTCGAATGTTTCGGCAATTGCCTGCTAGTATGCCTGGTTTCACTGAGCAGCCACGGCATAGAAAACATGCAACTGCTGATCTTCGACTTCCTCTGACCATGATACCAGGACTACATGAACCTCGAGGATTTTAGTTGAGCCTGGATGGGCTGCTCAGAGTTCTGCAGCTTTCAACTCAAAGCATGACTTGGAACCGTTGACTCGTTCCGATGTTTTTGTGATAATGCGATCTCACCCTTTGATGCAAAGTTGTTGTGACTGCGCAGCCGTCAAAGACGCCTGCGCTGCAAGCCATCGGACAGTTCAGGCACCAGGTGCATAGATGCATCTCTCAGGATACACTGCGCCTAATCTTCTTTTTGCAGCAGTTTGTGAAACGGCTTGCTTTGTGAATGAGCTGTTTGATCAACTGAATGCTCACACCGAGCATGAAGTGGCCATCCCGGACCCTGACACTTCAGCTTGTGAACTTCAAAAAACCCCCTGGGAGCACCGAGTCGGTCAGAAGTGCTCTCGGCGCGAAGGGGGTGCAGGTTTAGCTTGAGAGGGTCAACAGCAACGCGCCAGCAGCCAGAAGGTGTGGTATATTGCGCTGGCTCGGGCCGATAGCATGACTGCTGACTGCAGAGCAGATTCGCGTGAGGAAAGACCGCGCGATCTTAGTTGTCCCACGGCAACTATCACCACTCGTTATCCGCGCTAACCGCTTTTTATCCTGGAAACGGGGAGAGAGGCTTCGATTCATTGCTGCACTGCTCTCGCTTGATGTTTGTGATGCCGGGTGCGCCTCAAAGTACTAATTGCACGGCGTACGCATTGACAGTTTTGATACCATTCCCGCTTCAGCCCAGAATTGAATCCCGCAGGAGTCCATGCCAGTCGTAGAGCACCTGAAGTCCAAGGGGCTATTGCGACAGGCGCATGCAGCTTCTGTCAATGCTTGCGTAGCGCATGGCAAGTGCGTTGCTCGGCCAACTAGGTTCAGTGCGAGAAGGCTGTAGAGGAGGCAATCTGGCAGCATGGACGGTGCGCTGTGCCGTGTGCAATTTCCGTTTTGGTAGCGTCGGGCATCATGCTTCGGCAGACTGCCTGGTCAAACTTTGTGACGTCATTGTTGCGCGGATGCCCAACATTTGTAGATCCGCAGAACTTCCAAATTCCAGCGAAGCTGATTTCAATGATACAGCGCTGCACACCTAAGGTTTGGAAAGATGTCCGTGCTCTTTTTGGTCCAAGTGTGGTGTTCGTTCTTGGTGGCCCTGGTGCTGGCAAAGGCTGCCAGTGTAGCAGAAGCTCAGTGCGCATGAAAAGCATTCCTAAAGTTTCGGCCGCAAGGATGGCTAGGACAAGGTTGCTCATGTTACAGCTAGCCACCTTCACTTCACAAAATGTCACATACCAGTACCATGTGCTACACACTAGCCATGTGGCCTTTTGGCAGCCCAGGATTCAGGTGATTAACACCCGGAGCCACTTGTTGGCTAGATAATGGCCTGAAGGGGCGAGTGTTGGGTCTGTGTGACTGTCGGCTAACACCCAGTTAGGGATTGCAATCCATCTCTTCATCATGTGCTAGACTTGAAGTCATGTTCTTGTTTTCAGTCCGCCTGCGCTGCAGGCACGCTGTGCTCTCAGATTGTCCAGGCGTGATTTCTGCGCTTGCGGAGTCTGTGGGATGCATTGCGCCCGCAAGAGCCCTCAAGCCTGGCCAGTGGACATCACTGCCAGGCTTGTGGCTATCAACATCTCAGTGCTGGCGACCTGCTCAGGGAGGCTGGGATGGAATTCCACGGCAAGCTTCTGCTAGCAAAGCGAGTGGGATGGCCAGGAGCGGAAGCGCCCAGGCTCGCAGATGGGCGAACTCATTGAGAATCACATCAAGGCAACTCCGCTCTGCCTGTTTAAGCTATGGTTGAGACCTGCTAGACGTCTAGATTGTCCACGATCTCGATTCTAGTCATGTCGAAAAAATCACTCAGCATCAAGGAGGGGAAACTGGTGCCGGCCAACATTACTGTCGAGCTGATCCTGCAGGCTGGAATTCTCAGGGTCCGAGGCATACGTGTCACAAAGCTAAAGATCAGGTTGTTGAGATGTTGAGGAGACAGTCTGCGGAGCAGCGCTGTACTAAACAGATTTTTCAGTTAATCAAAGTGAATTCAGGTGAGAGCTGACCTTCCTGTCTGTGCCAGGCAATGCGAGAAAAAGGGTGGGGAGGCGGCAAGTACCTCATCGATGGGTTCCCAAGGACTCCCAGTCTTTTCTAAAATTTGTGTTGTAACTTCACGGACACTAAAAGATAAAGGCGATACACGAGGTTCTGCGCCTAGGAGGCCCAGATGCGGAATCCAGAAAACAAGGTTCTACAGGCAAGAAAGCTGAACGACAGACATTCCTTTCCTCTTGCAAGTGCTTGCAGAAGACGGCTCTTGGCAATGATACCTCCTCCTCCAGCCACCGCCTCTTTTGTTCGCTAAACTTGAGAAGCAACGGGGGCGCTTTGGACTCCGCTGCAAAAGGTGAAACAACCTTGTGGCCTGAGTTTGCAGATGTTTGCAGCCTCTGCTGGGCTACTGCCCTGGTCTTACCATCAAGTGACGGGTTTGTCGGGGGCGGACGCCCGCACAGCTGGAAGATTCTGCCCTCGTGCTCACAGTTGGGTTTTGCTTGAAAGCCATGACCATGAGGAGCTTCGACAACTTGGCTGCGTGGGAAGCCATGGCTGGAGACCAGGCCAGCCCAATGAGATGTGAGATGATGTGAGGATAGCGACTGGCTGTGCAGGTGCTGGTCAAGTTTGTGCTCTATCTGGATGTGTGCGAACAGGTCATGGAGGCACAGAAGCCAGGGTCGATTGGACACAGGCCTCCAACTTTGGATATACTTCGCAGTCTAAATGTAGTCCAGACAGGGCAGTCGCTCTGTACTTCGCACATGTTCACAGAGCGCAGCTGAAGCTGCTGTGCAATCATGTGTGGTCCTGGGGGCATCACTTGACAGTTCTTTGAGGGATTCTGCTGCAAGTGTCATGACAACCTCGGCCTCTTCAGTGGCTAAGTGAAGGCCCGGCTACTGGAACGAGGGAAGACAAGTGGTCGAGCAGATGACAACATCGAGTCGCCCGTCCCAAGCGTTTCAGTCCATGAACATGCAACGCTTGACTGGAGCTGAGGTCTATCCGGAAACGCTTCCTCACCTTCCACCAGGTTTTGCGACAGTTACAAGAAGCATCTGTTCCTTTTTGTGTATCATATTGCTGATGGATGCAAGACATCAAGCCACTAGCTTCCAGCACATCGGGAGGGCAAGCCTTCGTACGCATCAAATGCAAGTAGTGGGCTGTGGACACGATCAGAGCCACTGAATGCTCATTGACGTGAGCAGCGAGGGTGCATTCTTGAGCATGCAGGCGTAAAACGATGCAAGATCATTGCAGTCCAACACCTTACAGTCCAGGAGTCAAGACCTGTGGTGGACAAGTTCCAAGCAGAAGGTCGTGTCATCAGGCTCGGCGATGAAGGATGCATTGCTAAATTGTGAATGTTGAATGCGGATAATTACAGTGGGCAGGTGTTGGTGAGCTTTGTAGACTCTGTAGACCAGACGGAGATGCCTCCAAACAACTCTTGGAGGATGGATGCAGAGAAGCATCGGGACGATGTTTGGCGGGACGTGCAGGCGCGTTGGGTGTGAAGCCTGTTGACTTCTTATGGAGCAGAGCTGTCCGATTTGCGAGTGAGGCCCTCTTTGGTCCGAGTGTGGTCTTCGTCTTGGGCGGGCCTGGCTCCGGGAAGGGCACGCAGTGTGCCAAGATTGCCGTACGAAGCCCAGGATGAGGGGAGGTGTTTTGGAAGGTGTATCACTTCAAGCTTCAAGTTTCCAGTGGTGCTGCCTGCCAGAGCTAGCTGCTCTGGTTAAGAAGGAATGATGTTTGATTGGAAGATCTGGAGGGCATTTGCAGCCCTATGCAACTGCAGCAAGTGGAGCTGTGCCTGTAACAGGAAAGCTTTGGCTACGTCCACCTCAGTGCAGGCGACCTGCTTCGAGAGGCAGGTGCCTAAAACTGTTGTGGAGGCCCTTCTGCCCTGTAAGACCGGAGCCTTTGCAGGAGCGGGCACGAGAAGGCTCAGAGTATGGCGACCTGATCAACTCCTACATTAAGGACCTGCGTCGATATTCGTCACTCCTTCACAGCTTGGGTTTAGATGCGCTCTCCTTGCTCGGCTTTGAGCTTGCACGCCTGGTGGAGGAGGGTAAGCTTGTGCCAGTGGAGATCACCATAAAGCTCATTCAGCAGGCAGATGTGAGTTGTCGAGTCACCATGTATTGTCAAATTGGTTGGTGCATCATCCCCGGCAAGGCCATGGTGAAGTTTGGCTGGGAGGGCGGAAGGTCCTACCTGCATACGTTGCATACACTGCGCTGGGCTTTGGTGCTGCCTCAACAAGGTACTTGATCGACGGTTTTCCCAGAAGTTTTGACAACTTGGCTGGCCCTTTCCTCAGCAGTCTCATTTCCCGAGCGCTTTGCCATGACTTTGAGCAGCTAATTTTCTCTGAAGATGCCTGGGTTGGCCTGCTTGGGGTTAGTCGGAAGCCTAACAATTTGAATGAAGGTTGGGAAAGCGTCATTGGAAATTCTGTTGCTCCCTCAGCGCTGACGATTGACAGGGGATGTTCGGCAGCGCAGCAAAATTCCCAAAGTTGCTCCCAACTGGCACAGGATCAGAGGTCTGAGGAGCACACAACATCTGATCACCAAGGTGAGGGTGAAGTTTGTCCTTTTCTTTGATGCCTCAGAAGACACCATGCAGGTTCCGCAACTTGGCTATAGAGTGATACAGATGATCAGCTGTTCAGAATTCATGCAGGCACGGATTATCGAGCGAGGGAAGACCAGTGGCAGGTCTGACGACAACCTTGAGTGCAGGACCGAGAGCATTGCGACAACTTGATCTTTCAGCTGTAAGATCGTCCTGAGAGTAAACTCCCGCTGAGGTCAATAAAGAAGCGCTTCGCCACCTTTCAACAGGAGTGGCTCAGCTGCGTGGAAGCAGGGTTATTGCGTGCAAGCACAGAATCACATCCTTTTTCATGTTTCTGCCGGGAGCTCCCTGAGTTGACGGCTCTCCAAATCTCAACCAACTCTGGCACCGGCCTGTGAGGGCAACTGGTGCATTCGTTGCACGAGTGATCCCACGTGTGGAAGGCTGTGAGCTGTCGAGTGGAAATCCCTGAGAGGCCACAAGGTTTGAAGGAGTAGGAAATCAAGACGCGCGCGGCAAATCCTTAATACCAAAAGGAAAGATGAAACGTTGAACAGAAAGCAGCGGAATACCAGAAGTTCTGTGATCAGTGAGGAGTGTTTAGATGGGAAACGCATTGATAGCTCGCCATAAGTATGGTTTTGTTTCGCTGCACTTTGCACAAGTGTGGTAGTTCCTGGGCATCTCAAGGAAGTACAGACCAGTTGCTCGCAGTAATTCGACATCTTAAGGCGCTCAGTGTCACGCCAAACAAGTTCAGTGTTTGTTAGGTCGATGCCGGTAGTCGAACGGTACCGGCTCCAGGCTGGTGACCTGTGGCCTTATCTGACTTGCACAACTTAATTCTCATTTCTTTTTGGGGCTGCGATCCGCATATGGCGCAGGGCCTGGTCCGGCGAATTGATGCTGAGCAAGCCCCTGAAAAGGTCGCGAGCTTGGTGTTTGTCTTGGCTAGGGCTATAGAGGGCTCTCGTGTAAATGTCAGCTCTAGCATCTCTCACCTCAAAAGCAAGAATTCGCATGGTGTAAGTCCGGTGTGCTGCTTGCACCCCGAGGTTTGGAAAGACGTGCAAAGGAGTGCCAGCAAGTGTTGGTGCAAAGTTCGGGCTATGGAGAAACCTGCATGGAGGTAGAATGCTACCGTCTCAAGTTGTTCAGCAATCCGAAGCACCAGTGCATCTCACATTTCTGTGACGTGCTCGGCGTGAGGAACTTCGGCCCGCAAGTGATCTTTGTGCTGGGTGGTCCGGGTGCTGGCAAGGGCACACAGTATGACACTCGGACCAGCTTGCAAAGGCTGCCCCTGACAATTTGTGCAACAAGCTTACAAGGTGCGCCCGTATCGCGGCCAACTTCGGCTTCCAACATCTTTCGGCTGGAGACTTGCTTCGCGAGGCTTTGCCATGCCATCCTTGAAGTCAGTGGAGTTCGGTGACAACTCCACTAGCATACCAGGATTTAGTAATTTAGGATGCCCAGATCACAAAGCGCGGTCAGAAATTTCTAGTGCAGGATTCGTGCGGACTGAACCACCACGCACTATATTGCAGGAGAGAAAGAGGCCGGGATCAGAACTCGGTGAGCTCATTGAGAGCCACATCAAGGACTTCGCATCAGAAAGCTGCGTTCCGATCAGACTGCCTCTCTTTGACGTACAGAGCGCGAGCATCCACCCATCTGTTATGCTGTAAAGTTTGTAAAGGCAGCCGAGTGATTGCATCTGCGCTGCATGCACGCGATGGCTCAAACCAGAGGCTCAATCAGGGCGCGAAGGGCGGTTCGCCAAGGCTCCTATAAATTGTATAAGTATAAGGTCCCTGTATGCTGCGCATGCTGCGCTCATCATGCTTGTATGGTTTGTGAGTTCCTACACACCTTGCCTTTAGCCTTCGCAGGAAGGCAAGCTCGTTCCTGTGTCAGTTGTGCAGGCCTCAGTTCTCAACAAAACTGGAGTTTGCTATCTGGCACTGTTCCCACCAGACGTGCAACATAGTTTCTTCAGAATGGCCCAGAGCTGCTTTTGGTGTGGATGATTTCGCTCAAGCCCGAAGTTTTTCCGGCGAGCAGGTGCGTGTGCAGCGCTGATAGTGGAAGTCTGCCAGTTTCATCAGCCTATCAGTTTACCGCACCCCTTCACTCAATGTGAGCTGCATGTGTAAGTCCTGGACTTGACATAGGCACGTTGCCAACCTTCATCCACTGAGGTAGTTCGTTTATTGCAAAAGGCCATGGAGCAAAGAGGTTGGGAGGATGGCAAATATCTGATCGATGGCTTTCCAAGGCCCAACAATTGTGTGATCTATGCAGGTAGCAGCAAGCCTGCCCGCCTGATCTTCTATCTCCCAGCTCATCCTATAAGCACGGCAGGAGTACCGAGAACATGCAGGGCTGGAACGAGCTAATCGGCCCGAAGGCAGTGAAACGGACACTTCTTGTGCTGCGATCCGAGTTCTTGACCATCTGGAGGTGGACGTGAAATTCTGCTTGTTCTTTGACTGTTCCGAAGCAGTCATGGAGGCCTCGATGTGGGCATGCAGGGATGTTCGATTCGGTTTCTCAGTTGCCATCCGCTCACTCCTGCGGTCTGCGTCTTGCTAGACGAGGAAATAGCTGTTTTCTGGGGTGTTGATTTGGCCGTTGAGATGATGGGATATTCCAGATTCATTGCAGGTGTTACAGTTTTCATTATGCTTGCTGCCGGCTGTTTGAATTTACTAGCGATGCTTCCAAAAAAGTGTCTTTGGCGAATAAGTCACAAACTGCAGCGTCAAAGCTTCAAGAGCATTCTGCTTTGCGTGCCCATCAGGCCCGCTTGCTTGAAAGGGGCAAGACAAGTGGCCGCTCTGATGACAACATAGCAGTGGCCTTAGACTGTGCAACATGCTGCAGATTCAGATCCGCCATGCCTGCCGAGCAAGTAGTTTTCACATCGGCAAGTGGGCTAGCAGGAGTCGATCAAAAAGCGTTTTGCAACCTACAAGCAGGAGCTCATGCCTCAGAATCAGAATCTTGCTGGGCCGCAGAATGGCGACAGTTAAAGAGCAGGTCTCTGCCAGTGGTTGAGAAGTTCAGCAGCGAAGGGGCAATGCGCAGGCAAAGCATCTCTTAGCCAAGATAAGCAGAAAAACGTTGAGTCCTGCGGAAGGATCAATGCCGAGCAAAGCCTCGATGAAGTGTGGAATTGCGTTCAGGAGGCTCTTGCAAGCGGAGTATTCACAGCAACATCGCACCATTCGGGAGAAGTGACTGAGGTCATGCGGAATGAGCAAGACGGGCACCTGTTGAACCAGGCACTGGCTGGATGGGCAGTTGAACACTGCCAAAGTAATTGGATCAAGATCCACCTCTTCGATCACAGGCCATTGTGCTCATAAAGCCATCCTCCTTCAACAAGGACTTCGCACTTCCTTTCTCTGACCTCGCATCAGATGCAAAAAAAGAATGTCCTCGCGATCAGGACACGCAGCGATTTGTGCAGTCATTTTTCGCTACGCACAAGGTGCTGCTGCACATGAGTTAGGAAGCTCGGTAGGTAGAACATGGTAGAATCTGCTGTACTGTGCTCTCACGCCAAGTTCTGGAAGGTAGGCATGAGAAGACCATCCCAAATCCAGATGCATTTCGCAGGTGCTTCTCGTCAAGATACCAGTGCCAAGATGTTTCAAACTCACTAGGCTTCGCCATGATCCTGCCAAGCCCCTACGGACGTGAGCGTCCAGCGCCCGTGCTGGTTCGGCCACGCTCGCTGGACGTCACACTTGGCGGCCAACGATTTGAAGCTTCTTTTTCAAGTTTTTTTTGAGCTGACCTTCCTGCAGGATGCAAGGTGTTCCCTGACGGAGGCTGGCGTCGTGGCTTCAAGACGGCGGTGCTTGCAGGGAGGATGTTTATTTAGTGACTTGAGGGCTTCACGTTGTGAGCAGGCCTAAGATCTCAGGTCACGTCACTAATTTAGAAAGACGGAGTGTACGGAGTGTAGTGGCAGAGGCCAATCCATCCAATCCTCCCGATGCCGGCTGTCTTGGATGGCTTTCTTGACCTGGCAGACCTGGCAAGGACGGAGGCCTGGGAAGAATCTCAAAAAGGCATGAGAATGCAAGAACGAACAGCAAATCAAACAGTGCAGCTCGAAGATGCTCAGGATGCCGGCAGTGGGGAGAGTCCCAATTGTGGAGCGTGGAATGCCTGAAGTGCAGCAGGAACTGTCTGTTGAGGAAGCAGCAAAGCTGGTGGCCGAACTCTGTTCGATGGACTGGCTGACAGCCACGCTGTTTTCAACGAAGTGCTGCTTGTACCGCGGAGAGGCCTTCAATTAGGCTCCTAAAGCAAGGAAACAGGATTGAAGGAAGGAATTCTTTCAGGAAAGAAAGCGGGAGCCTCTCAGCTTTGGCAAGTTCAGGATGTGCGCCATCCTACTCGCCTTGCTCCAGTCCCTGATCTTCTGAGCGCTAGCACGTATGGGCCCGCTGGTGCCGAGTACTTCGAACGGCTGGACGATTTTCTAAAGCAAGCCAGGTGCCCTCTCTGTGTGTAAAGCTCTTTTGGATGTTGAGCTTGCAAACTTTGATGCTTATAGAATTGCTCACTGCAGCTGCACAAAGGCGAGCTGTCTTCAGCTTGCTGCTCTGACTTGTTCTTCGTGAAGGATCTTTGTCATGCATATGCTTTCTGCAGATCTGCAAGGGCGCCGCTTCCCAGCGCTGGCCATCTTTGTGGCGACTTGCCATGCTATTGAGGCCTCATGCTTGCGAGTTGTTTCTATGTTGCATTGATCGCCAGACTTGAGGTAATCGTTCGGCGGCCGCCGCTTGGGGACCAGCTTGTTCGGTGTGGTGACCTGGCCACATGTAGTAAAGCTGCGCAGGTGAGTTTGTCTGCCAAACCTTTGAGGCCATTGGGCAACTTTGACTTTGCGTGGCCCAGAGAGTGTCGGTGCTTCTGGGATGAAGGAGCCAGCAAATGTCTGTGTGATTACCACCTCGTCAAGTGGAGTCACGAGTCTGGACATATGTGGGCATGCCCACCTCTTGCGAAAGGGCAGTTCCGTGTTATATTTTGCTGCGTAATTGTACGCCGCATTTGCACTTGAAATGCTTTCGCATGGCTTTAACGGTGTAGTATCACAGGCAGAACTTGTAGTAACCCCGCATCGTTGGAGAGGCTATCCTGGTTTTCCAGTCCCGAAAGCTGCCATGTGATCCCGACAGCCTGAAGGTCCCAAGGTCGGGCTCCAACAATCAGGTGGTTCTATAGGCCTGTCAGCCAGAGGCTGATGCACAATTGACCGGCAGCGTGTTCCACATGCTTTTCGGGAAGTCTAGAGGGTCGCTGGGCCATTTGAAGGCTTTTCTGCATGCGTTTGTGGAGGACGTTTTGCCCAGTTCGCGGACGTGGCGGTTAATGAGGCCAGAACGAAGTGCTAGGCTGCATAGACAGGGCGCAGGACGTCTCAGTCTCTGCGGTGCGCTTCCCTTCAAGGGAGTAGTATTTCATTTGGAGATACTATGGTACCCAATGTAGACTGAGATGGTATCCTTCTTTTGGTTTGTTTATATTAAGATTATACTCATACTAGGTTCAACCCCAAAAAACTCTACTCGAGGGGCTTCGGGACGCCATATCATCTGGACATGAAGTGCTGTTTCAGTGCGAGTTGGGCTGGATTTCGATTCCGCTGGCCTATGAGACTGGGTTCCTACGCAAACTTCAGGCTTTGCTACGTTCGACCAAGTGATGGAACTATTTTGATATCAAGTGATGGCTTCTGCAGTCAAGCTCCTCGCATCGCACACAACAAGTCCACGACCGAGCGGTCATCCAACATTGCAGGATGTTGTCGCGGACAGTCTTTGGGTGTCCAGAGAAGCTTCTAGTGAGGCAGCTTCACAGACGACCGCTTTTCGATGCAATGCAGCGAGTTTGAGAAAAAGACGTCTGCTGGTGCGCAGCATGTCGCTCTGCCGGTCCCGGGTTTCTGTTGCAGATTTCTATCATCGAGAAGGGCATCGTTGCAGCCAAGGCAACTCTCTTGCCTGGCATGAAATGACGTGTGACGAGCGTGCCTTCCTGCGCAGCAGGACATCGCCGACAAGAACATGTTCGACAAGCAGGAGCTTGGATAGGTACTTTCGCAGAGTGAATCCAGATTGCCAGATGCTTGCGGCAGTACCTACAGCTGGCGCGGTTTGCCAGTGGTCTGCCCAGTGACTTCAAGGTGCACCATACCAAGTATCTAAGAATAGATTTAAAGTCAATTGCACTGTTGCTTCTAGACCTGGCCCTTTGACTGCATGACGCATGTCTATCTTGCAGGTATCTGGCGCTTCTGCCAAGCTTTTCGAGGACAGGTTTGGCACGCTGCCCAGGTGTCAGTAAGCGGGAAAAGCGGCACAGAGGAGATGAGATCAGCTGAGGCGTAGCCTTCGATGCGACCCTGGTACTGGGGGCAGAGGACGCCCTGCAGATGCTGGCAGATCCTGTCACACTGCCATGCTGAGTAACACACTGATTGTAACACTGTCGCAGCTGCGCTTCCAGGCTGCTGCCGTCAAATTGGGTGTTTCGGCAGAGGCATTTGCACCATTCAAAGACAGGGGGATGCAGGTTGCGAGGTTGCCGAGAACGGATTTGCATGACAGGAGATGTTTGTACTCTGGAAAAGCAGTACTCACGTGAAGCTGGTACTCCTCTCAGATCAGAAGCAAAGTCCAGTGTCAGCGTTGCTCTCCTTCCCTTCCTGCACGTGGTGACACCGCTTGAGTTTTTGTTCCGCCTTGGACGCAGGTGCTTAAGGCTCCGCACTAGACTGACCCCAAATGACTGGCTAAGTCTGTGGCTTTGGCTCGCATTTGGCCATGCTGGTTGAAGTCGTTGGATTGCACGCCCTCAACCTGGTTCGGAAAGAGGCGTAAAGGCCAGACATGCGGTGGGTGCTCATCTTGCGGTTGCGCGCAGTGCCTCGCAACTGGACAGCCACGCCAAGATCGGAATTGCCGCAGTCATTCTTGCAGTGTCATGGCTATTCTTCTCGTGTTCTCGTGGTGCTCCTGCTGCTGGGCAACCAGTCGGTGCCGCTGCCCCCCGAGGATGAGTTCGACGAGTACGTGGCAAACTTCCTGCCGTATTTCTTCTTCGGTGAGAAGTGAGCACTCATGAGACTCAACGTGTCACAGCAAATCCGCAACGTGAGTTGCTCCGTCTGCAAACTCGCGACAGCAAAACTGGTGCCGTGAGTGGCGAGCATTCAGAATCTTTGAGGAACTAGCACAGACCATGCTAGAAATTTTTGCTGCCCAGGACACGGAGCGGGACTTGCTGTGCCCTGAAAGAATAGAGCCTTCTAGACCTTATTTTTTTGAATGTGTGTCGCGAGACACTGTTTTTGTGAAAGCAGTTTTGGCCTTCATGACCCATTGCTTCCTTTTCTCTTTGTTGGCTTGTGGTGTAGGCTTCTCAGGGCTAAGTTTTAGTGTCGGTGCACAGAAGATGCAAGTACGGCTGCATGTGTGCCAGCTTTGACCGTGTTTAGTCATCCGCCTGAGGCTGTTTAAGAATTTTGCAGACCAATTAGCTCAGTGACCTTGCTTCCGCGGCCACTCCGCGTTTCAAGGGTTTTGAGGGACGTTGCTGAGGATCC